AATCAGCCTGCAATGAATCCTTCCTGCACAAATTATTTTCCATCAGAGTGTAATTATGCAATATGATTGAAAAAAAAACAGCTGTCAATCAAATGTTCTTAATGGACACATTCCTGTTTGTAGAAAAAGTTTTTCAAGGTTTGTAGTAACACTGAAGCACCAAATACTATATCAACTACCTATTTATGGGAATTTATATTAATTGGATTATTATAATTATTTTTTTTCAAATTTGGCTATTACATGTATAAAAATGTGCATCATGAACAGAGCACAGGCTCTTTTCTATTTACTGCCCTGTAAAGCTTTACGATTAGGTTCAGGAATAGTTTCTGCTCCAATGCTGTAAGAATTTTCAACACATTTATGTACAATCTCAATAACAACACTGGACTCTACACAATCACTTTTGCAACATGTCTTTGCACTGATGCCTTTAAGCTCATCAATTGCACTATAACTCTATTGTCTACTACTTATTATTTTTTGTTATCAATGTTATCTTGGTTACAGTCTGTGAAAAAGCATTCCCAGCCACATGACTATGTATTCACATAAACATTCAGTACTGGTATTTATTGACAACTATCAGGACAGATATCTTTTAGGCAATTTTTTTATGCTGTGTACATAATGAAAAATATAAATTGCAACATTTTAGCCAAATGTTAGCTATAAATGTTAAATAGATTGTTCTCACTACCTGTATAGAAATGTATGTTAGTGTACAGACCCTTTTATAAAATGCCATGCACACATTTCTCCTGAGCACTAAAGAAAACATTACATGGACATTAACATGCAACTTTGAAGAGTAATCTGCCATTTCATTCAGTTTTCAGTTCACATTTTTAAGCATACAGCTAAAGTTATAAACACATATCAAAAAAAATTATATTAAAAAGAAAATTGCTACATTTTAAAATGTGCCAAAATTGTCCAGAAGCAGCTGCTGTATATTTTAGCTTATGCTCTATTTGTGCAGTCAGATCAACTGGGGTTTTTCACTTCAGGTGACTATATCAGAAGGAGAATGAAAAAAGAAGCAAAAACAGTTACATGTAATTATATTTCTTTTCTTTTTTTAGTTGTGGCCTAATGGTTAGAGAGTCGGACTTGTAACCCAAAGGTCGCAGGTTCGAGTCTTGGTACCAGCAGGAATTGTTGGTGGGGGAAGTCAATTACCAGTGCTTTCTTCACCTTCAATACCACGACTGAGGTGATAAACCATGAGCAAGAACTGAATCCCCAACTGCTTCTGGGCTCCGTAGCAATATGGCTGCTCACTACTTTGAGTATGTGTTCATAGTGTATGTGTGTGTTCACTACTCACTGCTGTGTGTGTGCACTTGGATGGGTGTAATGCAGAGCACACATTCTGAGTATGGGACACCATTCTTGGCCACACGTCACGTCACTTTCACTTTATGATCAATTAATAGTTCACATTTTAATGGTCATGTTGTTTTATTTGGGCAAATGACAAAGAGTCTGTTGTTTCTCTCTGTATCCAAGGTGATAAAACACACAAAACAATCACAGAAGTGAAAGTAAAAAGAAAGTTGAAGTGTCGGAGGGCTTGAATGGTTTGAACAGTGCAGCGACCAAAATCATTTTTCAGCTGTACACACTGTGTTATGTGGAAAATAAAATATTTTAAGATTATTTTGTCACAGAGCATTTCAGACACACACACACAAACAAACACATCTGACCAAAATTTGTGTGTGAGTACAAATATACAGTGGGTACGGAAAGTATTCAGACCCCCTTAA